GCACCGTTCCCGAGGGGCTGTGTGGAGCTTTTATGGACTGTGCTGTAACAGGGGATCTTTTCCCAGGTGCCTCCCAGGAGTATATTGAAATCATCCTGGTGTCCCAAACCACTGGTGCTGCCAGACACACCTGGTGTGAAGAGAGAAAGCATCTGCTCAAGGTAAGCCACGCAGGTGCTGGGTCACCAGTGTCCCCAGCATCTGTTGCAAGGTCAGGACAGCTGTAGGGTCAAGGAGGGAAGGAGTCAGCCCCACGCCAAGGTCCTGCGAGGCCAGCTCTGCCCTGCTCTGTGCCCCACTCCCATGACCACCAGCCATGGGTGTCTTTGCTGTCCCTCTCATGGTCCAGCAGCCAGATGAGTACCCAGGTGCTCAGTACGTGTCTCAAAGGTCACAGCACCGCAGCTCATCTGCTTGCACCCGGCGGGAGCCCTGCCCCAACTGCAAACACGGCACTGCCTGGCCGCAGACGTGTCCCTCCCTCCCCTGTGCCACAGCCTGTTTCCCATCCGTGTTCCTGATCTGACTGGAATGTGGCTTTACAAACCCAGTGAGACCGTGGTGGTGGCCTGTGCTTCACCCAGAGCAGCGCTCATCAGCTGCTCCCGAGTCTACCTCGAGCTCACTTGTCTCTCATTAGATTTGATTGCAAATCAAACGCAATTTAATTAGCAGAAAGGCAAACAGACACTTCCAATGACTGGCTGATCATCCAGCTAATGACTATCAGATCAGCAGATGTAATTGCAAACCTCTACAGTTATTGGGAAATGAAATGAAGATGCCACTTGCATCCCGGTTGCACAGCACCATTGGTGTCTCCTTCCCTGGCTTCCCTGTGCCATCGTCCAGGTGGACGGGGCATGTAGTTTTCCACCTCTGCTTCATTAAACCAATGCAAAGACTCTGTGAAGACCTACTTATACCTAGGGCAGGTTTATTTTAGGTAAAGGGAAAAGTTTCCAGGGGTCACAAAGAGATTTAGGAACCAAAACCCCTCCTGCCTTTGCCCCATGATGTGAAATCTTTGGCCCCCAAACCTCTTGAGAAGGCATCACATGAGACCTCAGCTTCTTGTCCAAACCCTGGTGCATTAGATCGAAGGAAAAGATTCCTGGGTCAAAGTAATTTTGGAAATTGGGTTTAAAGTGCTGGTTCTCGCAGGCTTGCCTGTGCAGGGTACCCACAGCAGTGTGCTTCAGCAAAGAGCTCTGCTCCCCTATGCCACAGCCAGCTCCCAGCTTGGTTTTGCTTCTCTGGGCTGATCACATCATGCTGTCCCCTCTACAATGGTCTCTCCCCTCTCCAGGCAGCCCAGTTCAGCTTCCTCCGCCTCAAGTGGGCTCCCCGCTCCCTGTGCACCACTCAGCAAGGTCTCACTAATGTACCACAGCATCAGTATTTTCCCTTCCCAGATGGACTGGAAACCTTTCCACTTTAAGCTCATTGAGTCCAACCATGAACCCAACACTGACAAGTCCCCTATGACTAACCCATGTCCCTCAGCACTGTGTCTACACGACTCTTCAATCCCTCCAGGGATGGGGACTCCACCACTGCCCTGGGCAACCCCTTCCAATGCCTCAGAACCCTTTCAGTAAAGAAATTCTTCCTCACATCCCATCTCAACTGCCCTGGCCACAACTGGAGCCCATTTCCTCTTGTCCTGGCCCTTGGTCCTTGGTTGAACAGACCCACCCCCACCTCTCTCCACCCTCCTCCAAGGGACTTGCACAGAGCCAGAAGGTCTCCCCTCAGCCTCCTTTTCTCCAGGCTCAACACCCCCAGTTCCCTCAGCCACAAGGGAACTCAGCACACTTGTGCTCCAGACCCTTCCCCAGCTCCGTTCCCTTCTCTGGACACGCTCCAGCACCTCCATGTCCTTCTTGGAGTCAAGGGCCCAACACTGAACCCAGCACTCAAGGTGTGACTCATAACTACCTTGGGCTGACCGAACCACTCCATCTACAGCTGGGGACCCTGTGGGCAGGCAAACTGCTCCGTAGTCCCAGAGCTCCTATGCCCACCTAGTTTTCTTTCTTTATCTTTCCCCTAAAGCCTTGCAGATGCCGGGTGCTGGATTCCCCTTCTCCCATGAGACATAGTCCCCATCCCAAAGACTCTTTGCTCCCTCACTGCAGAAGAACCAGCATTTGTTCTTCCTGAATTCGAGTGCAGCCATGCTCCCCTCCCACAGCCCTGCTGACAGGCAGCAAATCTCTGAAGACTCTCCTCCCTCCTTGATGCTGCTGCTGTCCCCGTGCCCTCATGTTGTCACTGGCCACCCTGCCTTTACCATAAATTGTCCTTCTGGAAAACTGGGAGTGGGTGATGTCTGAGTTCCAGGGCACTGAACTGAGAAGCACTGCGGGGCTGCCTGTCCTTCAGCTCCGTGGCTGAGGGGTGTACGTTAATCTCAAAACCCTACAAGCAATTTTCATTCTCCCTGCACTCCTTCATCTTTCACTTACCACTTTTCAGGCTCTTTTCTTTCCTTGGAGACTCTCCTCTCTTTCCAAATCTCCTCCTCAGTGGACATACATTGCTCCTTTGCTAGAGGAGAAGCCCTCACCATCCTCCCCCTTGTGCTCGAGAGGGAGGTTTTTAGCTGGGTTTGGCACCTTTGCGTTCATTAAATCCCAGCTCTTTTCTCCGTTTGCATGCTTGACTTCCCAAATCTGCCCAGCTGCAGTAACCAGCTCTCCTCACTCGTCCTGATTTGTGCCTGTTCACAGCCACCAAGCTGCTCTTACTGATCTTCTCATTTACGCAAAATGACGTTGACTCATGCCTACCCCAGCTGAAGTTATTTTCTCAGATAGCTCCTCTAAAACCAGCCTATTTTTCAGTAACAGGTACAAAAAAATGCAATCAGCTTGCTTCACGCTGTGTCCTGGTGAAGAGATACGTGAGATGTCATATCCAAGGATATCTGTGATGACCATAAACCACAAAGCTGTGGTTTATAACCCCCATCCCCTCCCAGGACTTACTCTTCCTGGAAGAATTTTTCTCCCAGGTCTTTGTTCTCACCCCAGTCTGGCTGGGGGATCTGCACTGCCGGGGCAGACCTTCCTTTCCCTCCTTCCCAAGGTGATTTAGATCCAGGAAGATCTTTTGATGTTGTCTTTCAACATCTTATGCTGTGCTGCCTTTTCTCCTCACCAACCTTTCTTGCCCTCTCCTCCTGTGACCTCCATTGCCTCTGCTCTGGTCACACCAGCTCTTTCTCTGACCTCTGGGAACATCCGGGAACATTGTCCAGAGAAGTTGGAGAAGCTGTGGCTGCTCCTCCCTGGAAGTGTTCTCGGCCAGGTTGGATGAGGCTTTGAGCAACCTGGTCTAGTGGAAGGGGTCCCTGCTGATGGCAGGGGATTGGAACTGGATGAGCTTTAAAGTCCCTTTCAACCCAAACCATTCTATGCTTCTATGATCTGCTGTCATGGGTGGCTCCGTGTAGTATATTTGAGTTCCTCCATGTCAGCTTTGCATAAGGCCACAATCGTTTGTGTTATTTCCTATGGACCATCTGCTCTTCCTGAGCCAGAGGAGACACCAGCCTTTTGCTGCCCATGCCGCTTTCCCCTCTGCTCTCATCCCTGCAGCTGCTTCCCTTCCCTCTGTGGTTGTGCCCTTGTCCACCAGCTCCAACTCTTCCAGCACAACCCAAACCAGCGTGGAGAGTACATGGCTTCCCTTTGACCTCCATTCCCTTTGTGGTGGAGATCCTGGCACCAGTCCCCTGAAGGCTTCTCCCCTCCCACTGGCATGTCTCTGTGTGAGGAGCAGGGTGTCCATGGAGGCTCCCAGCTGCTCAGGAACTCCAGCCCTTGCTGCAGCACCCAACCTTGGTCTGGCTGCTCCTCCCTCCCTGCTCACACAGCCACCCCACTGCTGGGCACCAGGAGAGACCCACAGCCCATCCCTGAGCCTCCCCGCAGAGTGGTGGGGTTGTCCTTGTTCCCTCTTGGAGGGAGCCTGCGATGTTGTTTGAGGTGTTCAAGTCTTCTCAGCCCGGCACCCACCTCCTCTTCGCTTCTGGCAGATGCTCCCTCACTTCTCTCTGGGAGGACCTGGTGGTAGCTCTGTCAGTGTCAACAGCTTCTTGCAGGCTTCTGTGAATCCCTGATCATCTCCTTACCGTGGAGATGATCTAAACCCTGTGGCTTTAGGTTCACACTCAAAATCTTCTGAATGTTGTCTGCATTTATCCCTGAGCTCCAGTTTCTCGTTAGATTCAGAGACTTGCCCTTTTCCTCCAGGCCAGTGTCTCTGCTTTTCCTTGCTACCCCTAAGCCTGTTTGAACTATACAGTCACCTTCAGACGCCTTTCGGGTCCTCCTGTGATCTCCAGAGGTCCCTCCTTTGCATTGCTTTCTAAGTGTGAACACGAGGTTAACATCTACAGTGCAATATTTGCAAGTAGACAACTTCTTTGTCTGTAACCTTCTAAGATTTCTTTTTTGTTGGTGGTGGCTTTTGGGGTTTTTTTTGAGATCTGCTCCTACAATCTGTGGTGGAAAGAGGAAGCAGGAGATCTTTCTATATCTTCACTGATGGTGTAAACACAACTTGCTCCCATGAAGGGCAGCAAACGTTCAGCAAGGCAGGGTCCAACCTCTCACATTTTGTAGGATCTTCAGACCACGCTCCAGTTGCAGCCCAGGAAACCTGGAGCAGGTAGAGGAGCTGCTCTTGTCCTCTCTCATTTAACAGTCCCTGGGATCCTTAGTGGTGAGGTCTCCACTCTCTCCAGTGTCCTTCAGGTGACACAGAGTTGGGGGTTGCCTTGAGGATTGAAATCCCATAAGCTGACACCCGTCACCTGCCCCCAGAGATGTGTCCCCTCAAGCCCCTGGAGCAAGGTGTGAGGAGTGTTGGGGCAGTGGCACAGCTTCAGCCCACCATGCAGCAGAGCTGAGGGCTGGTGATGCCCCATGGCAGGGGTGAGTGCTCCTCATCCTTCTACCTGTTCTTACCTCCTCCTGCTCTCCCTGTAGATGAGCCTCGAATCCCTGCAGCAGGGAAATCTCAGCAGCCGCACCGCGTTCCTTCTCTTGGGTTTTTCTGGTGCCTACAGAGCACAAGTGACCCTCTGCCTGTGTTTCTCACTCATTTACCTGGTGACATTGCTGGGGAACCTGCTCATCATGACCCTCGTCTGGCTGGACACCCACTTGCACTCCCCCATGTATTTCTTCCTGGGCCACCTCTCCTTCCTGGACATCTGCTACTCCTCTGTCACTCTCCCTAAGATCCTTCAAGACTCCTTCTCACTGCAGAAGACTATCTCCTTTGTGGGCTGCATCACACAGATCTACTTCTTCCTTTGCTTTGGGGGCTCCGAGTGCGTGCTCCTGGCTGCCATGGCCTATGATCGGTACCTGGCCATCTGCCACCCTCTCCGCTACCCAGCACTCATGAGCAAGAAGATGTGTCATTGCTTAGTGGTTGTTTCATGGCTGAGTGGCTCCTTCTCGTCTCTGATCCAGTCCTTCCTCACAGCCCACTTGCCCTTCTGTGGGTCCAACGTGATTGACCACTTGTTCTGTGAGATGCCCTTCTTGCTGAAGGCATCCTGCAGCCCCAACGCTCCCCTCAACAAGGCCATCTTGTACTCTTTGGCTGGGACCATTGCGATGGGCTCTTTCCTCCTTACTCTCGTGTCCTACGTTCACATCATCGGGGTTGTCCTGCGGAAGGGCGCAGGGACACAGAGGGTCTTCACCACCTGTGCCTCCCACCTGACCGTGGTGTCCCTGTTCTTTGGCACCGGGGCCATTGCGTACCTGGTGCCTCACTCCAGTGGCTCCAAGGCGATGGATGAGATCTTTGCCCTGCTCTACGCCATCATGACCCCCATGCTCAACCCCATCATCTACAGCTTGAGGAACAGCGAGGTCAAAGAGGCCATCAGGAAAGCTCTGCACAGGGGGGTGTTACAGATGTCCACCAAGGGTGTAGGCATCACCATTGAGCAACCCCTACCTTCCCCATGGCAGGGATGTGGCTCTCAGTGACCCCACACATGAGGGTCTGGGGCTCCTCACTGGGCAGTGCTGGTGGGAGCAGAGCTTGGGGGTCCTCGCTCTCTCTCACCAACACATCCAATGCCCACACCCACTATTGCCCAGTGGGGACCCGGGGGCTGGAGACCTACTTCACATCATCATAGGATCACAGACTGGTTTGGGTTGGAAGGGACCTTAGAGATCATCCAGTTCCAACCCCCCTGCCAGCAGCAGGGACACCTTCCACTAAACCACGTTGCTCAAAGCCTCCAAAGCTCAAAGCCATTGTCCCCCTCTGTGTCTGAAAGCCCCTGGCACAACTGGCTTGGACTCACACTGCCAGCTGCAGAAAGCCCAGCTCATGCAGGTATGACCTGGGCAGGTGAGCTGTGTCCCATCCCAGGAGCCAGGTACTGTCCTTCCAGCATGGAGCACTGCAGAGGTCCTCACCCTCTCGGACCGGTGGCAGAAGGGTGGCACACAACATCCCCTGGAGACCTGCATAGACTAGGAGGAGATTTTGTAAAATTGCTAATTGCTTGGCCACAGGAGCTCTCCCAGTAAGTAATTCTGGGACCTTTTTTCCTAAGAAACAGGTTTTGCCCAGGTAGAGGAGCTGTCCTGGCTGTCCACACCCTGCCCTTGGTGTGACTGTGCCCTTGGTAAACCTTGGGGGTTTGTAGTCATTTCTCTACGCCAGGGCTTTGTCAGGCTTTCTGGAAAGAGCTTTTATTCCTCAGCGGAGCCTTTCTGTGGTGAAACACTGCAGAGCCCAGCAGAACTGCTCGGCCGCTTGCATCTCCCGTTAAGTGGTGGGTAATCTTGTCTGGGCTGGACTTGCAGACACTGCAGAGCCGGATGTCTTCCCCTTAATGCAATAAAATATGTATAAGTAGGAAAACCATTGATCTTTGTAGATTCAGGAGTCAACGTTAATCCTGGGAATAGGGAGCTGCTTCCACATGCAAAATGGTGGCGATAAGGCAGGAGTGTGGGTTGTACTGGAGTGTGACTGGGAGGACAGATGAATCCTGCTCCTTCAGGAAGGACTCAGGGGCTCCCAGTAGCACACGGAGCTGGGAAGGAGTTACCTGGTGGTTGTAAATAAATGGGTGTGAAAGGATGCTGTGACCACTGCTCAGTGTGTGCAAGAAGACAGGTCTACAGGCACAGCTGAACATATCCTCCTTGGACCTCGGCCAAACGCTGCGTTGGGGTTTCTTTACAAGTAAGAATCCGTAAGATTCCTACTTAGCAGAAATTATGGGTTTCCTGTGAAGGAAAACACCCCCATCCCTGATGGAGCCAAGGATTTATCAGTAGGAACCCAACATGCCTTATCCTGCTTTGGTGAGGATGCAACACATCCTCCTGGAGCACATGGGCAAGGCAGGGGCAGTTGGGGAACACAGTTTTTAGAACATCTACAAAATCAGCAGCTCCTTCAGAAATAAAGCAAGAATTTCACATCCCTTCCCACCCACAATCCCCAGGACAGGGTGAGCCAGAGCCATCTGCAACCCCTCTGCTCTCTCTACTGATGGGGAAACCTGGGATTTCATGATGGCTCCTGCTAGTTGGAGCTACCTTAGTATGTGGCCGGGTAGGGACCTCTGGAGGTGACAGGCAGGG